TCTCCCTCCCTCTCTCTCCCTCCTCTCCCTGGGAACAGACTGGTAAACAGTGCATCACGATGGCATGCGGCATCATGGGACACGGCTGGAGGACAGAGATAGGCCCCGGTCCTCCTTTTGTGCACGGGCTCCTGTGGACCGTGGGTCACGGCCCATTACAGCAGGAGTGGACTGGTCTCCTCGGACCAGGCCGCAGCTAATGCTTCCATTGTTCGTCAATCGTCGTGTGAATATTTATGACGACGCCGTAGCCGCGGTTAAGCTCTTCCCTCTTATCCCGACGGCCAAACGAGCGGCGATTGGCCGAGGCCGCACCAGCGGCTTTGTTCTGGCTTTGTTCAGAACAGAGTCTGGCTGTGAACGTGCCGGTGTCCTCTGGGTCCACCTGGTGGATGGAAGCAGGTTTTTAATAAAGAACGTCTCGGTGTGTTTGTCCTTCCTGTTGGCTCTGGTGTCCACGGTTCTGACTGGAACCGCCGGTTTAGAAACCCGTCTGTTAATAATCCGTACCGTGATGATCCTGAGGGAACTCTCTGACCAATCAGTGATGAGACATCCGTTGACGGTCATTCGTACTGCTGCGTTAGCTTAGCTGTCTTAGCTAAGTTTGTGTTGTTTTTATGGACGTCTAGGGTTTGATTCCCTGGGTTTGTCTTCATGACCAACCTGCTGCAAAAAAAGTCAACTAGGATTAGATTAGGATTATTTTGTCTGTTTTCAACTAAATGTATAGATTTGTTTTTAATAGAACTTGGAATTCGTCCTTGATGCGTGTGAAGACGATAAAAGTGAAGATTGAATATATCGTCTGAAGTTCTAATAAAACCAAAGTCTGTAGAAACACTCAGTCCTGTGTCTGTGGATCACAGACTATTGTTAGTTCTGTCAGTGTGAGTGTCTGTGATCACAGCTCCACACCAGAGATCCTGAATCAACTCTTCAAACACCAACATCAGCCTCATCCTGAATCAACTCTTCAAACACCAACGTCAGCCTCTTTTTTTTTTCCCTTTTTTTTAATTTAGGCTCATTTTTCCCCGTGCGTCACGTGAGTCCGTAGGTGTGGAGGGTTGACACCACTTTACATTCCAGGCTCACGCTTCAAGAATGAGCGAAGAATTTAGGGTTTGTTTTCTTTTGTTTTTTCTTGAAGTGTTGGTTGATGACAGTGTCGGCGTCTCTGCCGTGACGAAGGGAAACAACGACGCTGCCGTCTGTGTGAAGGTCGTGAGGAGAGAACACACCGTTCCTCTGTGCATTTTTGTGTCAAGGTCGACAAACTTGGATTACACCGAGAGATGTGGTCCAGACCAAAACAAAACTAACCCTAACACTGAAAACACGGTCGACCAGGTGACCACGACCAGGTGACCACGACCAGGTGACCACGACCAGGTGACCACGACCAGGTGACCACGACCAGGTGACCACGACCAGGTGACCACGACCAGGTGACCACGACCAGGTGACCACGACCAGGTGACCACGACCAGGTGACCACGACCAGGTGACCACGACCAGGTGACCACGACCAGGTGACCACGACCAGGTGACCACGACCAGGTGACCTCTGAACCCAGGCTGCTTGTTTTTCTTCTTCTTCTGCAGCAGTTTCCAGTCGCCTCAGCGTTTGTTTAAATCCACAGGTCTTGTGGTCGATGAGTAGAGAACTGGTCTGTCAGGTGTTATCAGCCAATCACAGTGACAGGAAGTGGGGGCCGCCGCCGCCGCCTGTCCCAGGGGCTCAGGACTGGGTCAACGCCGCAGAGTTCGTTCCAGGACAGCCGTACTGCGGCCGGGGTGAGTGGCCCAAGTCTGTGCTCGGGTGTGGGAGGAGGAGGAACCCCCGTTTCCTGTTAACGCTTCTGTCGATGTCTGTGTGTGTGTGTCCAGCTGAACAGGTGACGCCGGAGAGCTCCGCCCCTCTGGTCAAGGAGTCGGACAGCGACGCTCCGCCGCAGGACAAAGAGCTGAAGAAGCAGCTGTGTCCGTACGCAGCGGTCGGAGAGTGCCGCTACGGCGTCAACTGCGCGTATCTCCACGGCGACGTGTGCGACATGTGTGGCCTACAGGTGCTGCACCCTACGGACAACGGTCAGCGCTCCGAACACACGAAGGTAACGGACAGAATCCTGGACGTCTCTGTCCCAGGGTCAGAAAATCAGTTTCCTCACGATGTGGCTCCTGGTCTCCTGCAGGCGTGCATCGAGGCCCACGAGAAGGACATGGAGATCTCGTTCGCCATCCAACGCAGCAAGGACATGATGTGCGGCGTGTGCATGGAGGTGGTGTTCGAGAAGGCCAACCCCAGCGAGCGTCGCTTCGGCATCCTGTCCAACTGCAGCCACTGCTACTGTTTAAAGTGCATTCGCAAGTGGAGGAGCGCCAAACAGTTTGAGAGCAAAATCATCAAGTGAGTCATCAGTGTCTCGGCCAATCACAGGCTTCCAAAACCTGTTTGATGACGAGACGCTCAAACGTCTCCAATCAAACCTGTACTTTGTCTAATTACTGTTATTGATTACAGTTACTAATTACAGTTACTAATTACAGTTACTGATTACAGTTACTAATTACAGTTTGAAACATAACCTTTGGTTCCGTTACATCAAACATGACTTGATGCTGTATCGATATTCTAGAGCAATGTCGATTGTTTTGTTTTTGTTTTTTTCATGGACCTGTTTGAAGTGTTAAAAAAATTAAATCTTTTTGATGTTATTATTAATAATGTGACACTGGTAGGACTAGAAAGATGAAGGCTCCCCCTTGTGGCTAAACTGTTGTTCACAGCTAACCTGATGACGTCACGTGTCTAAAAGACTAATTATTAATCACGACCGTTTTGAAGTTTAAAGTTGGCGCTGATATATTTTAACGTTTCCCTCTCCGTTGCGCAGGTCTTGTCCCGAGTGTCGAATCACGTCTAACTTCGTCATACCGAGCGAATACTGGGTCGAGGATAAAGAAGATAAACAGAAACTGATCCAGAAGTACAAGGACGGCATGGGGTGAGAACTGTTTACTCTGGACCAGAGACTTCTCTGTCCACAGGGTTTGGGTTTGAAATAGAAGGTGAAGGTGGGTGGAGGTGTTCAGTCCTCCTGGGGGGGGCAGGGCGGAGGGTGGGGTTTAGACATGGCTAATGTTGAGGTCTGTGTCCACAGAACTAAACCGTGTCGGTACTTTGACGAGGGCCGTGGAACCTGTCCCTTTGGCTCCAACTGCTTCTACAAACACGCCTTCCCCGACGGACGACTGGAGGAGCCGCAGCCTCAGCGACGACAGACGGGGTCCAACAGCAGAAACAGGGTAACGCCCACCTCGGCCACCGCCGTCGCTAACGACCCTGACAAGACCAGACGCCATTTTGATTTGATTTAGAGGGAATTTGAAAAAAAAAATGAAAAAAAAGTTTGTTTTATTTTGATTCGGTCAAATATCACTGCACATCAGCCAAAAACACCAGACCAACAAAAAGTGCTGCCACCTACAGGACAGTGAGAGAAGGCAGTGATCATGGCATGACAATAAATCTGTTAGAATGGCCCAGCCAATCACATGACAATCAGTAGAAACTCAGTGGGATGAACAGACAGTTCCAGTTCCTCAGAAACGTTACTCGGTACTCAGTACTTTTATAACGTACTTTGTGCAGTACGTATTTCAGTTTGTTCAACAGTGTTTTCTGTACACATTCATTCATTTGTGTAGCCGTTGGTCTGGGTCTTTCTGAATGTGCAGATGACTTGTGTTGTTACTGACACCTGGTGGTCATTTCGTGTCAGCATCAGTAATAGAAATACGAATGGGTTCCTTAGAAGAATAAAGACAGGTGTTTATTTTAATTTAAATGTCTATTTTAACTCGCTGTAAACTCTACACAGTTGTGTTCTGTGATTTTTTTTTATTTAAATTGTTTCAAATATTAAAACGCATTAGTTTGACATTGAAAAATTAGGACAAATATTTAGCCGTCTTCTCACTGGTAACATCAGGATCTTCTGATCGTCTCGTCTTTAGCCCCCTCTGGTGGCCATATAATGACTCCTGATGACAGCCTCTCTGTTCGTCACAGTCCAAAACCGTGTCTTTTTCTCTCCCTCCTCCACAGAGCTCGAGACGAACTCCTCTGTGGGACATCTTCGACGAGCGGGACAGCACCGACTCCTTCGACAACGACGACGAGGAGATGGTGACGTTCGAGCTGAGCGAGATGCTCCTCATGCTGTTGGCGGGGGGGGCCGACGACGAGGTGACGGACTCGGAGGACGAGTGGGACTTGTTTCACGAGGAGTTGGACAATATTTATGAGTACTACCTATAGCGGCCCCGCCCACTAACCCCCCCCCCCCGTGTATAGTAGTCACTAGAACGGACCGTCTGTGTGTGAGTGATGGACAGTAGCTTTCCACCCTCCCACCCCCGTGTATCGTGGCAGTGCCTTTAACGAGGCCGTTAAAAAAATGAACTCCTTAAAGATTAAAAAAAAAAAAAAAAAAACTCCACCCACGTCCGTGCGCTCGTGCTAAACCTTTTTTGGAAACCTTTCCTTGTGGGTCAGTGTTGTGCGGTTCACGTTGAAGAGGAAAAATAAAAACACGAACTCGAGATCGAGTTGAACAGAAATGAAACATTTCTCTAAATATCGCTAATTAAAGTGACGTTCGTTCGTGGGTTTGACTCGTTTATCTTCTACTCAGACTGGTTGTACATATTACGATGACTCCGACGGAGGATGCACTCGCACGTGCTCGGCACCATTTACTGTAGTAGCGATGGGCATGTCGTAAGGTTTTACACGCGGTTTCCCCGAAGACCGAAAAAAATCGTTTCTTTATTGAAGTTGCTCATAGCAAATATATCGTGCCGATCTTTTAATCGATTTACCGTAATCACTTTGATGTGGTCCTGGGAGAGTGTGTACAGTGTGTACTTTGTACTCACAGGTGTTGGAGGTGTTGTACTGTTGTAACAGCAGGTGGCGCCCAGGAGCTGACAGTGGTTCTGGGCTGTCGACCAAATCAGTCCCAGGAACCGTCCTGGTCCAGTGATCCTGTAACAGAACAAATGCTTTTGAGTCCGAGCTCCGAACACTCTGACGTCATCAATCCCCGTATTCCCATCCACACTTTTGGGCACGACGGCCGATATCGATCCGATATCGCTGTTGAAATCTGGGCACCTGGACGGACTGAAGGTCGGAGTCGGACGATGTTTGTAAAACACCGTGTAACAAGTTAACGAACAGAAGGAAATTCACAGATTTATTCATATGGATTTTATTTAAAATGAATTGTAAATTTATCAAATAAATGTTCACCAGTGGTCACTTGGAAAAGCATTTTAAATAAACAGGATAAAAAGTCAAAGGTTCTGATCGTTTATTCATCTTTTTTATTTTTACACAGTTTAAAGAAATAAAAAGTCAATGAAGCAAAACTGAAAAAAAATGTGGTTTAAAATGATTCTATTCAATGTTTTCTGTGATGTTTCTGACTTAAAAAGAAAAGAAATGAGAGGAAAAATATTTGTGGCTTCGTTGGTGGGTGATAACGGGACAGATGTCTGCGGATGTCGGGTTCAGAGAGTCCGCTCCATCAGGTCGGACTCCAGGCCTGTCTTTGCGCATGTCTCCTCCTTCCACTGCCTCTAAAAGGAAAGAAGGAAGGAAGGAAGGAAAGAGGAGGAAATAAGGAGGCGAGCGCACAAATACAATGATCCCTGAAGCTGGGAAAGAAAACCTGAAGGCCGACTGTCAGCAGTACGAAGTGAGCTACCGCCCCCGTTCTCCTCTCTCCTCTTCTCCGGAGACTGACCGGCTGAGCAGGAGGAGCAGGCGGGACACGCGGAACACCAGCGGCAGCATCTTCCCGGGGGAGAGCGGCAGCATCCGGCCCCTGGTCTCCTCGGCTGCGGCCGCCGCCACCTGCACCATGACATCGGGGGAGTTCATGCAGAGCGCCCCGCTGCTGCTGGCGCACCGCTCCAAGAGGAGCCTCCTGTACAAGACGCTCAGCTTCCTGCTGCTCGTCTTTCAGGGCGGCGTCCTGGACTTCTACCTCATCATCTTCACGGATCTGTACTGGTGCTCCTGGATCGCCACGGACCTGGTGGTCATCTCGGGCTGGGGCATCTTTTTCATGAAGAACGCGCGGAGCAAGAGGGAGCGCGCCTGCGGCTTCCACCAGAAGAGCTCCATGTTCGGCTGCAACCTCGGGGAGTTCACGTACGCGTACCTGGCCTGGCTCATCTACGTGATCGCGTGCACGCCCAAGGTGGTGCTCATCCTGGAGACCTCCATCCTGGACCTGGTCTCGCTCAAGGTGCCGTTCGGGGCCACGGGCTTCAAGATCGTGGTGCTGCTGTCGGCGCCGCTGCTCTTCTGCCTCATCAACTCCATCATCGAGGACGTGAACGGCGCCACGCGGCACCACTCCCGCAGCTGCTTCATCAGCACCTGCCTGGATCTGCTGGACAGCTTCACGCTGCTGGAGATGCTGCTGCGCAACGAGATCCCCACCCTGTACCTGAAGTACACGGTCCTCTCCGCGTACTTCGTGGCCCTGGCCGTGCCCGTCATCTGGCTGTACGAGCTGACCGCGTCCGAGCTGCGCTGCCGCTGGCTGTGGGCGCGCTTCTCCACGGGCGTCCTGGTCAACGCGCCGCTGCTGGTGGTGCGCTGCTTCCTGGTGTACGTGTACAACACCCCGGCCTCGCTCTTCATGTTCAAGAACATCTTCTTCCTGGCGTGCACGCTGCTGGAACTGCTGGAGCAGTGCGCGGCGGTGCGCGGGGTGCGGAGGTTGGCCGGAGGGAGCAACCAGGCCCAGTTCTCTCACTGCGTGTCCGAGAACGACATGTGTCCGCACGGATACGTCAACACCCTGGCCGTCACCCAGTCCTAGGTCCGGGAACTGTGGCAATCCACTGGATGAGTGGATGAGCCGAGAGGTGACACGCGTGGGATCTATTTACACTTAAACCTCTGTCCCGGTGCTGACGGGGCAGAGGCGGTCCTAGCGCCCCTGGCGGTCAGGGCCCCCCGCCCCAAAACACCCTGACCCCTAATGTTTTTTGGGGGATTTTTTGTTTGTTTGACATACACCATCATAACTATAAAAATGGGAAGTTTCAAAATATAATATAATAAATAAACCACAGGGAGTCAAAAAGTTCTAAGACTATTTTAGAAATAGAAAAAGTATAATCAGAAATATGACGTCACATACGATGAAGATGAGTCTAGTACATGGTCGAAATGAAGACATAGTGTGTGTTTATATTTACAAACTATATTCATATATGGACAGCAGAGTATTTACATTCAGAACTGCAGTACAGCATCTATATACAAAGTTTATTTACTTCTCTTCGTCCCGTTCATGTCCAAACACAAACGGTGTTTCCGTCAGAAAAATGACGTCATCTAAGCACCGAAATCCGGTTCATTTTCAAACTTTTTTTTTAGTTTTGTAGAAGAGAAATCTGATCAAATTGATCTAAACATTTCAACAACCGGACACAATGATTAAAGACCTGTTTGAAGTTATCAATGCAGACCGTTTTGGAGATAAAAACGCGTCTTAGAACTTTTTGACTTGAAAAACTATACAAGACAAATATATATGTGTGTGTATATTAATACACAACCGAACAGTTAATTATACAGATAATTGACATCGGACTGTATCAACAACAAAAACAACAACAGTTAACTATAAATCGCCTTTTCTCTGGCCTCGTCCCCCATAAACGAAAAGAAGTTAACTATAAATCGCCTTTTCTCTGGTCTCGTCTCCCATAAACGAGAAGAGCTAAAGTTGGGCTAAAGTTGGGGAAGAATAAAAACAAACTCACGTGTAAGATGTCGTCACGTCCGCCCTGCTCCGTCACAGTTGTTGTTTTTAAGATCCTACTTTCCGTGTGAGAACACCACCCCGTCGGTGACCCGTGACGTCGCCATGTGAGGCTCGTCTGTGCTAATTAACGTTAAGCTGCTAGGAACTGAATGCGAGCAACGATTGGCTTCCGTCACAATTAGGTTCCGGCGGAAGTGTGACTAAGTTCCGCCCTGAGTCACCATGGTTTTATACACTGTACACATACATACATATATATAATATAAATGAAAAAAACCTAAAGGAAAAAGTAAGCAGGACTGTTTACTTATTGTTTACTTACGGTTTACGAGCTTAAAAACTCTGCCTTCCCTGCAGTCGGTGCTATGAATGCCGTTATAATGTCCTGGAGTTTCCCGGTTTTCTGGCTCAGCTTAGTTTTATTTAAAAAAAAGGAAGGAAAATTAATGATCCTCTTATTCGCTCAAAATAATCGAATTTAATGCATGGACCTTTGGATTGTATCGATTGTCGAGTTTAAATAATACATGTGCATCAACGTCTATGGCCAGTAGGGGTCCCTACAGTGTATGGCTGGCTGTCTGTGTCACAGTGAAAAATGCTAAGCTAACTGCTCCGTCTCCACTTTGTGTCCCATGTTGAGGTTATTCGTCAAACAACTACTGACGTATAAATAATGTCATATCCACTTACACAGTATATATGAAAAATATAAAGAAGATTATAATTATTTATTTAAACAAAGTGCTTTAACAATCAATACAAAACATGGTTAGCGATAGTAAAGATGTCACAGCAATCTAAAAGCTGACCAGCGTCACCGAAACGCCCACAGCTTCAGTTTTACATTATTTTAAAATATTTGTTTTGAACACTAGAGGGCAGCGACTGTACGATTAACAAAAAACGCGATTTTTTTTCCCCCAGTGGTTTTCGAACACAATACTGTATGTCCGATATTTCCACTGCTAATACAAGTTATGAAATGTAAAGTTAACTGTTTGTATAACAAGCATGCTAGCAAACATGTTTCGTAGCTGGAGAGTGGATTTTTTTTTTGTCTTTATGTCAAGTCGACAGGTGCTACAGCCAATCAAACTTTAACTGCAGTACTTTAAGTACTTCGTTTTTCCCGAGTGTACAGTGAAGTACATTTTACTACTCCGCTAAATGGCAATTAAAAAGTCGAAATGTCGTCTGTTTTTGAGCTACTCCGCTAAATGGCAATTAAAAAGTCAAAATGTCGTCTGTTTTTGAGCTAGCCCTCTTAGCACGTATTTTGCTGTTGGAATCGATCCCTTAGCATCACAGCTAACCAGGGTCGCAGACTAGTGGTGTGTTGTTGTCATTGCTGCTAATGTGTCATGCAAATGTGTTTTTACTATCATTTTAAATAATGATTTTAAAAAAATATGTTGAAATGTTTCCTCTACGGTCTGGAGAAGGAAAGCACAAGTTTACTGACTGTGATGACTGAACTCTGGTGGTACTATGTGGGACTGCAGGTACGTGTGCGTGAGGGGGCTGACAAGTTCTTAGTGCCTGTGATTTGAGTTCAGTTCAGCTGAGCTGTGACGTCATATCCTTGGTTTCAGCACTTGATTGTGAGTGAGGTCTTAAGATTACGTGTGATTTGTGCCTTTTGAGCAGCAGGAAAAGTAAGGGGGTGGGTGTCCACAGGGAGGCGCTAAATGCACAAAAGGTCCGTGCAAGATCAAGAATGGAATTTCACTTTTTTTTCTCCAGAATTTTCAGTCAATTAATGTTAATTTTGAACATAGTCTCTAATATGGATTAAATTTAAATAGTGACCCCTACGACCCCCCCTTCACCATGGACAGTGTTGTGAAGTGACCCCTGGTGTGACCTTTGCTGTTGTACAGGCTGTTACAGATACTGAGAGCAGAACAACTTTACTTGTTGCTTCAAATAAATATCATGTGTTGCCAAAGTTAAAAATGTTATATTTATTAACATTTAATCCAGTGGTTCCCAAAGTGAGGAGCGTGGACTTACTGAGGTACAGTCGGTCTTATTAATTTCATTCTTAATAATTGTTTTATTTACAAAGTGAGGAGCGTGGACTTACTGAGGCGCAGTCAGTCTAATTAATTTAATTCTTAATATTATTTTTTATTTTTGCCACAGTGGGAGAAAGTAACTGATTTGTAACTTCATTACCTCTACAACAGGGGGCGCTACAGAAGAGGTTTGGGAACCACTGTTTTAATCCAACCACCTTGTGCCAGTAATGTATTTGACCTTAGTAAAGGAAGTGTTCACAGTTGGACAGACTCTTGTTTGGATTTGCACACCACATTAACGCCTGCACTTTTGTACTACTCAAACAGTACTGTGTATTTGAAGTATATCTGTCACTGCAGTGAAGTAGCCTTCCAGCTGTACCTGAACTCACCAAAGGCTTCCTAACATGATCATGTCCTGTCACACTCCACAGTTGATGTACTATAACCTGTACTACCTGTACTATAAAGACATGCAGTAGTCATCTGTACTCATATACTCCTGTGTACTGTACTGTAGATGTGAATCAGAGTACCATGTGGACGGAACCTGAAATAAACCTGAAGAAGGATTCTACAGGGTTCTGCTGTTTTGTGTTAAATTATAACCAGAGCTGGGACTGAAGAATTAATGAATCAATGACCGACAGAAAAACAACAATTAACAACACAAATTAATTGAACAGTAGAACTGATGAACTTTGAATATTTGTGATTACAGTAAAGTACAAGTTTTGGATTGAAAAATTTTGCCATTTGATAAAGACGATTAATCACGATTAATTAACTACAAACCTCTTTATTAATTAGATACATTTATTTTGTGTGAAAAAAAAAAGTTAAAAAATTCTGAAAAAGCCTCAACAAGTTAAAAATGTTGCCAAAAAAAAAACTCAACAAGTTAAAAATGTTGCCAAAAATAAAAATAAAAATGTTTTAAAAATAACTTGGAAACAGACAGCATTATTATACCATTGTATCATTTCATAAATATTTCAATGGCACTCTTCACTTTTTTTTCCCCAACAGTCACAACAGTTCCTCCTTGTAAAATTGTTCTGAAGTTTTTCCTCTCGGTTCCAGGTAGAACATCCACACTGAGGCTGTCGTTCAATCGTTTCACTTCAACATTTCTTCTGTGACACACCGGCGCCACCTACATCAGACTCAGCATTTGTTACGGTTCCTTCTTCCTTATTTTAAGGTACTGGAGTGTGGTCTAACCAATCACAGAGATGATGGAATCGGTGCTGCTTACTGCAGAGTTCCAGTTCCAGTTCCAGTGGCCGTGTGTCCATCAGTTCCCCTCAGGGACCAAGTCCAAGTCCCTGAGGTTCTGCTGAAACAGCTCCTCCTGCAGCCTGGTCAGTGCCATCAGCTGGTTCTCCTTCAGAACGTGTTCATGCTGGGAGGAAATCTTAGAACTGTAGCCTTGGTCAGAACCACTGTTTGGACCTTTGCCACTGGGTCCTAGAACCTCATCTTCATCCACCTCCACGGGCAGAGAGCAGCTGACTGGGACGTGGGACGGAGGGAAGTGGTCAACCTGCATGTTTGGAACTGAAGACGAGGACTGGATGGAGTCCAGGGAGTTTTGTGGGACCAATAATCTCGGGCCCAGATGAGAAATCAGCTGTGAATCATCACTGTCCACTTCACAGGGAATCTGACCGACTGGACGAGGAAACCAGTCGGGTCTCAGGACGGGCTGTGGTGGACACAGGGACTGTGGGCAGTGGACGTAAGGGTACCAGCGGTCTGAGCTCAACTCATCCAGACTTGATGGACACTGGTGTTTGTCTCCTGGGTGTATGACAGATGTGAAGCTGTTGGCTAAAGACAGGGGGTGTGGTGGGTTCAGTTCAGGCGTGAGGACGTGGACGCTGCTGTTGTTCTCACAGATTTCTACCTCTTGGATGAAGACAGGAGATCCTCCTCTGATCAGAGGGACACACTCCAGGACAGGAGGAGTCTGAATCTGACTCATCAACAGGTTGGCCTCCGCCATGATCTCCTCCTCACCCTCCACACACTCTCTCTCGAACCAGTCGGGGTTTTCCAGCTGGTAGGCCTGGAATCTTTCTATGGCGTTTTTTAGGTCTTTTCCTGAGGGGCAGTTGAAGTATTCGTCCCCGCCGATGCCCTCCACCTTCATGACGTGGTCTGGTTGATACTTTTCGATGTCCAAGAGGCAGAAGAACAGCTCTTCAAAGTGCTTCATCAGCTTGTACCTGACCATGATGTCAAACACCGACGGTACGTCTCTGTCGCTGCTGATGCCGTCGAAGTAGGCCACCAGGTAGCGGCCCTGCATGCCCACCTGGTGCATGTCGGGCAGGAAGAGGTGGAGGAAGGGGACGAGCATGTCGTCCGTGGGGGACAGAAGGTCCTCCCTCAGCATCACTCTGCCCTGACCACACAGGGCCCTCCATTTGGCCTGGACCCCCCGCGAGCACAGCACCAGAACCTTATCACAGGGGTTCTGCAGCTGCTGGCGCTGCCACTCCAGCCAGGGTATACGGCCCATCAGGCCAATGGAGGAGGAGTCCAGCAGGTCCACCAGAACCTTGGTGCCACACTTGGCCTGGAGGAAGGCACAGAGCTTCAGCACGATGTCCCTGTAGAGGTGGTGGTCCTGGGAGTAAATGACCAGCACTTTAGGAGGTTGTTTTAGCTCCAACTGGGGGGGTTTGACGCCCGGCGTAGACACCAAAGAGGCGTCACGGTGGCCTGGAAGTTCACAGACAGAAGGTCGACCACAAAGACACAAAGTTCAGTCAATTATATTAAACATAAAGTGAGAAGTTAATAACAGACTTACAGAAACTGCATCAGAGTTTAGGGGAATGTTAATAACAGACTTACAGAAACTGCATTAGAGTTTAGGGGAATAAAATAAAATAAGTAAAGTAAGTAAAAATAAATAAAGAATACATTAAATTATTGCAATATTTTCTTTTCTTTCTTCTCTAGTGATTCCAAATGTAGATCCCTCTGTTCCAGTGTTAGGAACTGATGTTCAGATGGAACAGAGTCTGAGACTAGGATCACACTGAGGGGGGGGGGAAGTGACACTGAATACTCAATGTATCGTCATGACTATAGTATCACAATATATCGTTGCCACTGTATCGTGATACGTATCGTATCGTCGGATTCTCACCAATACTCACTCCTACTACGTCAGTGACTCACCTGACTTCCTGCAGAGGAAACACAGAGACGCTGCTGTCAGCACACACACCACTGCCACTGTGACAAGTGTGTATAAAAGAGCAGGAGAGACAGGAGGGTCAGGAGTCGGGCTTGGAGCTGCAAACACACACACACAGGTTTTGTTCAATAACTGGTGCAGCGTTCAGAGCCAGATCTGTAAACGGTAACAGACAGTGAACAGTTGAGGTTCCATTAGACTGTTGTTGTCAAGACTAAGACGTTAGTAAAGAACAGCAGCTTGTTTCATATGAACAGGATGTTTTTCTCTGCCTTTTCTTCTCACTGCTGACGAATGGATGATTCATCTTTTCAAAACAGAACGAGTGTAGAAGAGGATTGACAATGAGAGGAATGTGGAGTTGGCAGAACAGGTGGTGGTTTTTTTTTTTTTTACTTTCATTCTGCAGTAAAAAGAGGTGTGGCCTCAGAGAGAGAGAGAGAGAGAGACGTTAAAATGTGTCTCTAAAATCAAGCATCAATCATGACGTACCGGGACAAATGTCCAGAGTTCGTTTGTGACGGACGCAGTCCTCACCACATTGCGGGAAGAGAGGTTTGATCTGCAGTTAAGAAGGGAGGCATGTTGGGGGGGAGGGGTGAGGGGGGTTGGATGTGATGATGCAGATGCAGAGGGATACATCAGTATTTGGCACAAACTCTTTGAAATGATTTACCTCAACGTCGAACTGGCAGCAGGACCTGGGCCATTTGTCCAGACTGAAGGAGGTCTTCAGAGTAGAACTGTTGTCCTGTAGAACAGAGGGAACAGTCAGAGTAGAACTGTTGTCCTGAGGAATAGAGGGAACAGTCAGAGTAGAACTGTTGTCCTGAGGAATAGAGGGAACAGTCAGAGTAGAACTGTTGTCCTGAGGAATAGAGGGAACAGTCAGAGTAGAACTGTTGTCCTGAGGAATAGAGGGAACAGTCAGAGTAGAACTGTTGTCCTGAGGAATAGAGGGAACAGTCAGAGTAGAACTGTTATCCCGTAGAACAGAGGGAACAGTCAGAGTAGAACTGTTATCCCGTAGAACAGAGGGAACAGTCAGAGTAGAACTGTTGTCCTGTAGAACAGAGGGAACGGTCGGATTAGAACTGTATCAAATGTCTGAGCTGGCACGTCTTGATCGACATCTGCGATCAAATGACTGCCCAGGTGACGGCTTCTAAAATGTCTCTGGGGTCGACAGAAATTTGTGATGTCCACAAGACAAAAAAAAAAAGGTTGGGAACCAGCAGTTCTAACTCCAGCCTGTAGGTGCTGAGATGTGGGACGGTAAAGGATGAAAATGCAAATCACATCATAAAAGTTGTCTTTAAACGACAGAGCGACACCAACAGGCAGCTTTGTTGTCAACTTCCTCTTGAGCTGTGGGGAAGTACCAACACACAGAAGAGAGCACAGAGTAGGAATATTTATCAGTGACATCTTTGAAATGTATGTCTGATCACGTACATCGTAGGATGTCATGAACAGTCTGCTCTATAACCATGGGGGAAATGTAACAGGAAGTAACTCTAATAGTAAAAAAAAACCCAGAACTGGGGTAAAAAGTAGGTTAGGAAACAAAGAGCAGTGTGTTTTAATGAAGAACCACAGTTCTAAAGTTCTAGGTCACATCAGTGGAGTTGAGGCTGTGTGACTGCACTCACCAGGACGTCGACTTACCCTGTTAACATGCTGCACTTTCTGTTGGAAACTGTCGCATTGAACCAAAACTGTGTACTTCTCACAGCGACTGTCAGGACTGAAGCTGACGGCCAGAGCTGCTGAGATCTGTGTTACACGGATGTTAGACTGCCACTGACTTCCTGTAGAGAAGTAATGAGACGACATCTGTGAGACGATCCAGCAGTCAGTCAGATACGATGTCGTGAAACCCAAAGTGTCTGTATCGGTATCGTAACTGCCAGATCAGAGTCAGATCAGCTCATCTCCGGTCAGAAACCTACCTCTATTGATGCAAAACTGTGTCTCTCGCATCGTGGGATCCTGACAACCTGCGTAAACCACAGAAAAAGAAGTAGTGTTTGAATACATAAAAAAAAAACAAAAAAACTGCTGTCTCGTCGGTGCGATGGTTCCAGCTACATTTTAGCTGAGACGGCACTTGTCTGCCCCACTTTCACAAACCTGAGTGTCCCAGGAAGACAGTTAATTAGAGCAGATAAATATATTTATTTATAACACCTAATGTGCCTCAGGGCCACATGCAGTAAGTGTCAAGTCAAATGTGCTACTTCATTAAATGACACTGGAGACGGTAGAGAAACCTTGAACCAAAACAACTTTCTTTTGTCGTCTCCTCACCAGGTACGCTGACTTTCTTACTGACGTCATAGTTGCTGTGGCCCACCTCCGGTTTAGGGATGTTAAACACAGAGACCAGGTAACTCTGCTCAGGCTGCAGCACCACCATGTCAGCAAACCAGGACCACTGGGACCAGAAAACAGGAAAACATCAGGTTCGTTCAGTTTAATGTGATTTTTGTTATACATGTGAATGTGTCTGTGATGTCAGGTTTTTGTACGTGAGCTCATTTCAAACATCCTACCCTCTCGCCTGATGGACTTCTCATCGGCAGACGGTCTCGGAAAGAATATCGCACACACAGGTTCTGGTTGGTGGACATCACCAGGATTTCAAGTTCTGTGGCTTTGAGGTAACCGATGCTGCCTGAGGAGACACACCGAACGACAGTTCAGACTTGTGGCTAAAGCTGAGCCATAAGACTCTGTGACAGAGTCACGGCAAACTGGGTTAAAATGTCAGTGCATGTAATTAAATATAATGATATTCTAATTTTAATATAGTCACAACATACCGACTCAGTGTGAAACCTGAGCCTGTTTAGTTGAACACACAGTGACACACTCACAGGAATTGAAGAAAAACATTGAAGTATTCACAGTGGGCCAAAATTACAAACTGTGACGAAGGCACAGGCCAAACTTAATATATGTTAAAAAATTAACTGTAATTGTTCATGTTTCCCCTTTTCTCCCTATATGTAATGTAGAATTTTTTCATATAGAAACAAACTTTAGTTTTGCGTAAACATTGAATCTGGAAGAATCAAAGGATAATATTATAAAGTCATGAGAAATTAAATTTGAAACAATCTTTATCTGAAGCCTTTTGAGTTCCTTTTAAATGTAAATCTTTTTTTCACAGGCCAAAAACCAAAATGTATGTGCTACAACATAGAGCATACACCGCTAACACTACGAATCCCTGGATTCGAAGGAATAGAGGGAACAGTCAGAGTAGAATTGTTGTCCCATAGAACAGAGGAGGGGCAATACAACCCCCCACCAGCACCAGCCCTACACAAACGTTCCTTATACACTGTTGACCGAGTAAAGATAACAAGGCCGGAGCACTGAATTCCAAATTGGTTTGTAACTATGTGCTTTGTCTAAACACCTTCTCTAAGGATGGATAAGAAACAGTAAGTATCATCATCTCCACTGAAGCCCCAGGATATTCATTTTTTATCTAATTTGTTATCACAAAAGGTCTTTAAAAAATATGATGATGAGAGAGACTTGAATCACTTCCCACTCCAGTCTGAGAAAAGACAATACAGATTCTTCTTAGCTGTGTTTACATCTTTAAGCAATTTATTTTCACACAGGCTCGTAAAAATTGAGCTTTTGTTTTTATTTCAGACAAAAGGGGGAAGAAAGCATTTCCTTCAATGAGAGCCAGGTACTGTGTGAGTCAGTGTGTGTGTGTGTGTGTGACAGTGTGCATGCCTGCATGTGCAACAAAGAGAGAAAAACAGAGGGAGTTTGTGTGTGTGTGTGTGTGTGTTGGGGCAGGGGGGTGTTTGCACAGCTGGGAGAGTGGAATCACTTCACCTGGCTGTGGTTACTAAGGGTGTCCACTGTGATACCATTAAAAGACAGACAGGCTTTGGCACCCTCTCCAAAAAAAGAGAACTTCACTTCCTAAAATACCAACACACTGAAGTTCAGAAAAACCAAAGCCAAATCCCTATAAAGCCCTGCTGAATGCTGAATTCACTTGGGGAGGGAGTCTCTCTCTGAACCCTTGATAGTCGACTGCTCTGGCAGGGTTAAAGTAGATACGCTGAGTGGCTCCCAGCCGAGTTTTTCCCTCCATTAAATTTTCCACTCAGACCCAGACTTGCCGGTGCACCTCCCATTTTCCTATGCTCCCTCCAAGCAACCCTGTTTGATTCCCCCCTCCACAGGGCCGGTGCATGAGCCAGGAGCACTCAGACCAGATTTAGCATAACATCCATATCAGAAGGTGTTTAAGTACCTTCTCTCTCTGACTGTCTGCACCGCTCACTCTTCCACTTTACTCTGCTGTGCGTCTTTCCTCCATCCCACCCTCAGGCTGTACCCCATCTGACCCCTGGAGCTCACTGTTAAGTTTATAAGCAGAGCTATAACCAAGCACTATTTTACTACTGATCAAATCCAACTCAACTATACCCCATGAGATTGTGGGTTTTTTTTAAAGTGTCTCAGTCCAAATTCATTGAGTCATTACATATGACACAAGACAGAGCTGCGTAATATTATCCAGCATCACACTGTTGAACCCAGGTCAACCTTAGCATCACTACAGGCAAAATACTACATCTGCATCTGCATGTATTTTAACTTTGAAGACAATGATACAAAAGGACGGCTGAGCTGTACTGATAAGCTGCCACAGCTTTCTTTCACAGCTTTAGGAGTTTGCGTGTATGCCTGTAATAATGTGATGGCTGACCACTGTCACATCTTTTGGTTTTGTCCATTAATACAGAGTTCGATAATATAAGATATTATTTGCAGCCGGAGAGAACTTCATTGTCCAGCAGGATGTGGATCACTGCAGCAGTAACTGAATCAACTCAGTTGGACCAGTTTGGACCAGAATCCTCGATCAAAAGGTCAATCAAACGTCTTGCTCCCTCTACATTGGATGTGTCAAACTCAAATTCACAGTGGACCAATATTAAAAACTGGGACAAAGTCACGGGCCAAGCTTAATATTTATTGAAAAATTGATGGCTTAATATTATAAAGACATGAGAAATTAAACTAAAAATAAAACACAAATCAGTAGTGTTTGTTTCTTATTAAGTCTCTTTATCTGTAGCCTTTTGAGTTCCTTTTAAATGTAAATCTTTTTTTCACAGGCCAAAAACCAAAATGTATGTGCTACAACATAGAGCATACACCGCTAACACTACAAATCCCTGGACAACTCCAGTACACATTTGATATGATCTCGTGGGCCAAATATAAAAAAACCATGGGCCAGATTTGGCCCCCGGGCCTGAGTTTGACACATGTGCTTTAGAGCATCAATTCCACTCAGTGGAAGCGTAATTATTTTGTTCTGCCTGACACTGCCACACAGGTGAATATAAATAATCTTCAGTTCAAGTTGTGCCATGTAAACACACGTTTGATGACATCACAGTGTAGCTCACCGTCATCTCTTAGCTTCCACTTAGCCACCAAAACAGGCTGAAGACGACCAGCCTCATCCGCTCTGGTGTCCACTGACACCTGCAGCTCATCCGGACCACTGGGGGTGTACTTATTCCTATCGAGCCAGTTTATGTCCACACAATTACCTACAAACACACACACACACACATTTAACACCATGCATAGGCTTCATGTTTTAATTTGTTTTTTAGTTTTTGCATTTACAGAGAAAGCGGTTGTGTAACATATCAACATAAAGCAGGAAAGTCTATATTTAAAAAAAACAAAACAAAACCTTTACTTACTGGTACTGACGGTACACCACAAATCCTGGGAAAAAGACATGAAGCACAAAAAAACTCAACGGTTAACCTTTAAAAAAAACACACAACTAACAAAATACAACACTAAAAACAACACAGATATATATTTATATGTACATCACTTCTTTGGCATTGATCACAAATTACCAGGTTTATACATAAAGTAATAAATCTTTGTTTAAATGACGTCAGTGCTGTGTAGTAACGACTTTTTCCCTTAAATAAATTTACACCTTAGTTTTCATAAAATTAAATTTCATTTACATTTTCACCTCAATGTATATCTG